GCCATCTGAGAAACGTGGATAAGCCATTATGGATTTAATTGTATTATAAAGTTAGGAAAAACATTTGAATTATCAGATGACGGGAATGTTGTATTCAAATTGCAAATTATAACTGTGGTGCACCTAGGATCTTCTATATTCTAGGGTACAGGCAAACATCTACTTAAAATTTCTAGCCATGGAATAAAAGTGATGTCCTAAGTATTACTACGTCGCAAATTGATTGGAATGAACAGACAAAGTTAATAAATTGAATCTAGGATCCAAAGGACACTCCTAAGACGGTACCTTTGCCATCTATACTCATTGGCTCATCTCACACTTCTTCCTCATCTGTGAGAGTTGATCAACTTTATCATTTAGAAGTGAAGAGGATATGAAACAAAGAAAAGAAAAGGAGTAGCCAATGGTCCTCTAGAGAAGGCTTTTAATTTGCTGCAGCGAGAGGAATTGGATGGTGAAATAGCAAGGATGTTTTTTTCAGCGAGACTTCCTCTCAACCTTGCAAGGAATCCTCATTATAAAAATGCATTCATTTTTGCATGTAACAACAACCTCGCAGGATATGTTCCACATGGCCACAATGCATTAAGATCGAAATTATTGGAAAGAGAAAGAGCACATATTGAGACATTGCTTGAATCAACAAAAGGAGTGTGAAAAGAAAAAAGTGTTAGTTTGGTGTGTGATGGTTGGACAGATCCTCAAAGAAGACCCCTTATTAATTTCATGGTCGTTACAGAGAATTACCCAATGTTCATTAAAGCAGAGAATTGTGAAGGAGAATACAAGGATAAACATTTTATTGCCAATTTGATTAAAGAGGTGATAGTCATGATTGGGTCATCAAATGTTGTGCAGGTTATTACAGATAATGCACCGGTGTGTAGAGCTGCAGGATAATTGGTGGAGCAAACTTATCCCCATATATTTTGGACATCTTGTATTTGTACTAGAGATTTTGTACTAAACATCTTTATGTTATAAGCTAAACAAGTTATCATGAAATTGATTTATTATTGCTTGACATTTTTACTATAATGTCACCTTAATTTTTATATATTATATTAAAAAACTATTATGCCGTATCCACGCCTCACCCGTGTCCTATATTTTTAAAAATTATTGTCCCATGTCCGTGTCGTGTCCATGTCGCCGTGTCCGTGTCGGTGCATCATAGTTCATTATTGTTTTGTAACCTGCGTTCTGTTTCAATTAGGTACCATGCCAGTAAAAAAAATGTTGACATCACCCCGATATCTCCCTCATTTAGCATAAATTTGGGCAATCTTAGCCTTCCCACCACGTTAAAAAAATGTGCACAATCAGTGTTTGGTGACACCACAACAGTAAGCTTCAATCCCACCACACCAAGAAAGGCGTACGTGGGTCTTCAGGGGTACCTGTTTAAAAAT